CTATAATAACTGACCCTCATTAAATAGTTAGAATTATTATTATTATTATGACTTGCTAACTATAACTTTATGTACAGTGGGGATTAGGACGTAAATCACTGGACTTCGTAATACGGGGGTTTCTATTGCTAGAAATCCCTTCCATTTTTCTCGGTTAAATTCAGCGCCAGAAGACTAGAGAATGCCATTAATTGTGATAATATTAGAACTGGAATTTAAAATTATCCATCATGGTATTCAGATAATTTAAATAACGTTACCAATAGATTTAACGACTAATAATTTAGACTGTTACGAGTTCGTTCAATGAGAATGAATTTTCAGATCTCAAGGTTCTTCTCCATCACGCCCGTTTTCTGAATCTGCTACGCTGTTAAAAAACGAAGCCGTTTTCCTTAACCCAAAACCCTGAAAACATTATCAACTCCCCCACCTAACATCTCAAGGCCGCTGCGTCAATAATACTGTGCTTGAAATGTTACTAATACGTCGCATTCTTAACGGATTTCGTCCATTCCGTTCGAAATGTGACGCGATTGGCGAGGACGGGTGTTGAGCATGATACTATAGGGGAGAGAGAGGGGCAAGCGCAGGACCCACTACCACTCCTTCAGACCCTAGGCGGCGCCCCTCAACTGAAACCCGTTTTCCGTTATCGGCAATTTTAATAGCTCCGTCATCTGTGAACGATTACAACCGGACATTAATCTCCGAGACCTTAAAAACAAGATTATCACACAAATGTCGATCTTTTTACATTTCGTTAGATTGAAATAATTCATCTTGCTAATACAAGTAGTAAGATTCTATGCAAGAAAACTTTTTCATTCTTACATACAACAAAGGTTCAAGCATTGCTTCACACCTACATACATACATACATACATACATACATACATACATACATACATACATACATATATAGTTCCATTTATTAACTACTCTGATACTGGATAAATTCAAATGTCTCTTTGGCTCATTCGGGCATATAGTTTTCACCCATGTCCCCTTGTGCGAGGGCTACCTGTGCTAATCTGTCCTTATCTATCCTGTCGATTCCTCTGAGAAATTTTGCATGTGGTAATCATGTCACCCGTAATTCTTCTGCCTTCCAGCGACGTAAGGTTAAATTCTTGTTGCCTTTCTTCGAAATTTCTGGGACTAGTCTAGTGGCATGCCTTTGAACCTCGTCCAATCTCATCTTGTGCTTGACTAGATAAGGACTCCATGCTGGACTCCTCGTACTCTGAGACTGGTCTGGCATGTCACATGCAAGGTGCTGAATGATTGTTTACGCAAATTTGTAAAGGTAGTTCTTATGTTAGCCTGTCTTCAATGTCCCGCTGATTCAGATTCAGCATATCAACCCCTAGATCCTTCTCTGTCTATTCTATGAAGGATTTCATCTGGCGTTTGGTATCGTGTGTCCAGCCTCCTGCTCACTCTCTACAATTAGGTTCATTACTTTACATTTACTCGAGTTAAAGTCTAGTGGCCATTTGCTGGATCAGTCTTTCAGTTTGTTCAGGTCATCGTACAGTCTCTTGCTAGCTTCTTTTGTCTTAATCCTCCTTATAATTTTTGCACCAGAAAACATTAAATTAAGAAGAATCAGTCTACTCCGCCAGGAAGATCAGTTACATATACAGGTCTTAGAAACAGGATAGGTCAGAGAACTGAACCCTGTGGGACCCTGTTGGATGGTAGTCACATCTCACCACTCTGAGATCTCATCCTTCACAGTGACTTGCTGTCTTCTGTTGCTTAGGTACTCTTGCTTGCTTCTCCAACTTATGCACTAGTCTCTTATTGGGCAATGTGTCTGAAGCTTTTTGATAGGCCAAAAACATGCAGTCTGCCCACTCTTCTACTGTCTAATTTCTGTTGTCTGGCCATAGAATTCCATTAAACCTGTGAGGCACGCTTTGCCTCACAGGTTTAATGGACACAAAGGCAAGATAAGGTGATGGTGGGAGGAGCAAGATAAGGTGATGATGGGAGGGGCTATCTTGAGATCTTGAGATGATTTCGGGGCTTTTTAGTGTCCCCGCGGCCCGGTCCTCGACCAGGCCTCCACCCCCAGGAAGCAGCCCATGACAGCTGACTAACACCCAGGTACCTATTTTACTGCTAGGTAACAGGGGGGGAGGGAAGGTGATGGTGGGAGGGGCAAGATAAGGTGATGGTGGGAGGGGCAAGATAAGATGATGGTGGGAGGGGCAAGATAAGGTGATGGTGGGAGGGGCAAGATAAGGTGATGGTGGGAGGGGCAAGATAAGGTGATGGTGGGAGGGGCAAGATAAGATGATGGTGGGAGGGGCAAGATAAGATGATGGTGGGAGGGGCAAGATAAGGTGATGGTGGGAGCGGCAAGATAAGGTGATGGTGGGAGGGGCAAGATAAGGTGATGGTGGGAGGGGCAAGATAAGATGATGGTGGGAGGGGCAAGATAAGGTGATGGTGGGAGGGGCAAGATAAGGTGATGGTGGGAGGGGCAAGATAAGGTGATGGTGGGAGGGGCAAGATAAGATGATGGTGGGAGGGGCAAGATAAGATGATGGTGGGAGGGGCAAGATAAGGTGATGGTGGGAGGGGCAAGATAAGGTGATGGTGGGAGGGGCAAGATAAGGTGATGGTGGGAGGGGCAAGATAAGGTGATGATGGGAGGGGCAAGATAAGGTGATGGTGGGAGGGGCAAGATAAGGTGATTGTGGGAGGGGCAAGATAAGGTGATGGTGGGAGGGGTGAGAGAAGATGGTCGAGAGATGGTGGTGGGAGGGGGTGAGAGATGGAGCTAGGGAAGGATCCTGGGGGGTGGAGGGGGGGGGGGGGGAGGGGGCTGGGATGATAAGACGCCATGGGAGACCTATACCTGCCTTAATCACCACCAAACCATATCAACAATGCCAGAGAAAGGCTGGTGGAACTGTTTTCGTTACCATGACAACCTGGAGATCGATGATGCTCAGAGTCTGCAGCAAGAGTGGCTCTCTCTCTCTCTCTCTCTCTCTCTCTCTCTCTCTCTCTCTCTCTCTCTCTCTCTCTCTCTCACTCTCTCTCCCTCTCCCTCCCTCCCTCTCTCTCTGCTGCCTATCACTTACCAGGAATAAAAACAAACAGGAAGGATACAGTTTCGGATCCGCGGTGTCGCTGAATCTGAATCTGAGTGCGATGGAGCTGACGAAGAATCTTCCAGGGTCTTAAAAGAATGTGAGGAGATGCTTAGTCAACCCGCGTTGAAGATGTTGGTGATGTTGGTTCTAGTGCTGTAAGGCTTACCAATCGACACGTAACCCCAAGGTTACGTCATTAGTGAGAGCGAGCGCTCATGGCCTCTCATTTGACTACCAGGTGTCACTATGTCCGGAAATTTAGTAGCGGGTGGATTCGTTGGCTGTGCTCCAGGATTTTGTTACAAAATGGTCGATTGTGAGGCAGGCCGAGACGTTTGTGCACTACTACGGGCATTGTGTTATCACCAGGAAGCAGCTTAGTTAACTTCGAGGAGGTTAGGTCGACTTTTTCTTCGAGAAGACAACGAGACAGATTACATCGTGCTCAATTGCCAGAACAACCGTGGACATTTACAAGAGAAAACAAGATAGTTTTCTCCAAGAAGTGGCGAACCAACTGGGCTGTGGTGGGCCTGCGGGCCGCTCCAAGCAACAGCCAGTTGGACCAAACTCTCACAAGTCAAGCCTGGCCTCGGGCCGGGCTTGGGGAGTAGAAGAACTCCCAGAACCCCATCAAGCAGGTAAGGCCTGTGTGAGGGGTCACTACTCACACCTGTAGGAACCTCACATCCTCGACAAGGAATAGAAACAGACAATCGGTTAACTGGGATGTTGGGACTCTACCTTTAACCTCAGGTACTGGAACCGGTTAAGTTATTCAACAGCATGTATCTAGAACACGATCCACAACTTGCTTTACAACCAGGTCCCCCAGATACTGGTGGGTGCAGAGTTGAACACTGAGGGAACGGTGCCTCATCGTTCCCATCTGCCGAGGGTTCGAACTCTGGTTCTCTTGCTTGTGAGCAAAGAATGATTACCACATCACCATAGGTCACTTAACACGGTTAAACTCACAATGACAAGGTCATATAGCTTGAAGCAAAACAGTGATTGACACAAGTCACAACTTGACGCAAGATAAATCTTAAAGGAGACTTCAACTCCTCCCAAGACAATAACAGAAGATGAAAAAAAGTCATAATCCAATATAAAATTAAAATAAATTCAATATATTATTATAAACGGCCTCTCAACCTCTGACCTATTAAGGCCTATCAACCTCTGGAGGGCCATTAAGGCCTATCAATCTCTTGAGGGTTATTAAGGCCTATCACCCTCTGGAAAAGTTGATAAGCCTTAACAACCACCCAGAAGCGGTGTACAGCTCCTTGTGTGTGTACACAAAAGTGTAGATCACTCCCCCTCCCCCCCCCTCCCAGTGTACAAATCCCTGTGTCACCCAAACACTTGGTGGACGAGACGAGGGTACCAGAGTGTATGATGTACACACAATGTATACTCGCTCGCTTGAGTATAGAGTATACAATGTATAATTTTTGTTGGACGATAAAATAAAAAATTGATCAACTGAAGAGAAGATAACTTAAGATTTAGCGCAGGTCGCGCTAGACAAAACTAGTGAACGAAAGGTAGGATAAATTTATCTACCCCCCCCCCCCTGGTCTACATAATATAAGGGGGGGGGGAATTGGCACATAACATGAGGAAGGAAGGGGGGGAGGTACTCTTACCAACATGAGGGGAGAAGCACCCTCACACCAACACAGTAGGGGGGTACTCACACAGTAGGGGGTACTCACACAGTAGGGGGTACTCACACAGTAGGGGGTACTCACACAGTAGGGGGTACTCACACAGTAGGGGGTACTCACACAGTAGGGGGTACTCACACAAACACAGTAGGGGGTACTCACACAAACACAGTAAGGGGGTACTCACACAAACACAGTAACAGGTACTCACACAAATGTCAGACGTCAGTTTCGATGCTCATAGCGTTTATATTATTATTGTGACGTGGGTTGCAATTCTGTTTTTTACTAAGGTCGTGTTGCAACAAGATGCCCTCCTCAAGGTCCATGATGTCGGACGATGACTCTGATAAGGAATCCTTCTTCAAGTGCTGACCTGTCAGAGGGAGAGAGAGGAAGAGCCATGATACATACTATCTTCACCTCGAGAGAGAGAGAGAGAGAGAGAGAGAGAGAGAGAGAGAGAGAGAGAGAGAGAGAGAGAGAGAGAGAGAGAGAGAGAGAGAGAGAGAGAGAGAGAGAGAGAGAGAGAACCAGAGAGAGAGAGAGAGATACTATCTTCAGAGGAGAGAGAGAGAGAGAGAGAGAGAGAGAGAGAGAGAGAGAGAGAGAGAGAGAGAGAGAGAGAGAGAGAGAGAGAGAGAGAGAGAGAGAGAGAGAGAGAGAGAGAGAGAGATAAATGTCCAAGGTGAAATCTCACTGAATAAAGAATATAATTGTCTAATACTTTAAACACACAAGTAGGATTAGTGTTGTTAATTAAGTCATGATTACCTTAAGAAGGAATAATTAACACATTTATAGCCGTTACCTACAGCTTTCACACATATATGATAGATTATATAATGTTTTCACACATATTAGATATATTATTCAATGTTTTAACATGTATATGATAGACTATTCGATGCTTTCCCACATATAGGATAGAGTATTGAATGCTTTCACACACATATATATATTATTCAATACTTTCACACAGATTATTCAATGCGTCTACACATGTAGGATAGCTATCTCCTGCCTGTAAAACATACAGTATAGGATAGATTAATCAATGCTCTTAGTCATATATGATTGATAGCTTAATGATTGTATACTTTAGGGGATTATATATTAGATTATATAAACCTGGTTTTAGAGGATAGATTATAATCGTCTAACCCATATTAGTTGTGAATAAATGAAGAAAAAAGTGAAAAGTGGATGAAGGAATATTGTTGCTTAAAGAAGAGGAAGAGAGACGGAGGGCAAGAAATATGGAAAGGGGACAGGCAGACACGAAAGATAACAGGAATAAAGGAGAAAGAGAAGAGCGGAAACAGAAACGCAGGAATAAAATCAGACGAAAGAAAGTAAAGTAGACATGAGAAATATGAAAGATAACAGTAACTAGGAAAATGAGGTGACACTGGAAAAAAAAACATACAAGAGAATAAGGCAACACAGAAAAGACCCGATGAAAGAAAACGGAAAGGCGGAGGGGCGGCTAATCTAGGGTAGACTTAGCTAATGTAGGGTAGACTCACTTACCCACAGTGCCAGGCAGGTACGGACAGCTGGTGACGTGGTTGAAGTTCTGACTCTGCATCTCCTCCTGGTCAGTCTCCCGGTGGTAAAAATAGTTGAAGTTTGACACGATAACGGGAACAGGAAGCGCAATGGTGAGGACGCCAGCGATCGCGCACAGGGAGCCAACAATCTTGCCCCACACACCCACAGGCCTGCAGGGCAAGAACAGTCAGTATTGCCCACACTTAATGCTGTCTCAAGGGGGCATGTAGGGGGGAGTAATAATGGGGCACAACATATGAGGAGGGAGGAAGGAGAATCAGCTAAATAACAACATACTTATGTGTCATAGAGAGTGGGGATGCGAAGTAGATTGATACAAAAAATATTTCGTTCTTGAAATAAATCTAAGAGGAGCAGCCTTGTGCCCCCCCCCTCCTCCTCCTCCTCCAAGGGGACAGGCTGCTCTCTGAATGTGAAAAAATATGTACAATCTCCAGCGACAAATATCCTGGAGTTTGTATTAAGTGATGTTAAGAGCAGGAGCTTCAACGGGATAAGTTTCTTTCAGTTGGCTTCCTCTCTTAAGCCCAAATATATCAGGATATCTACACTACCTGGAGAGAGAGGCAACCTAGGCAAGTGTCCAGGGGCTACTGGCCAGCAGTGGTCAAGTGTCCAGGGGCTACTGGCCAGCAGTGGTCAAGTGTCCAGGGGCTACTGGCCAGCAGTGGTCAAGTGTCCAGGGGCTACTAGCCAGTAGTGGTCAAGTGTCCAGGGGCTACTAGCCAGTAGTGGTCAAGTGTCCAGGGGCTACTAGCCAGTAGTGATCAAGTGTCCAGGGGCTACTAGCCAGTAGTGGTCAAGTGTCCAGGGGCTACTAGCCAGTAGTGATCAAGTGTCCAGGGGCTACTGACCAAGTGTCCAGGGGCTACTGACCAAGTGTCCAGGGGCTACTGACCAAGTGTCCAGGGGCTACTGGCCAGCAGTGGTCAAGTGTCCAGGGGCTACTGACCAGTAGTGATCAAGTGTCCAGGGGCTACTAACCAGTAGTGATCAAGTGTCCAGGGGCTACTGACCAAGTGTCCAGGGGCTACTGAACAAATGTCCAGGGGCTACTGGCCAGCAGTGGTCAAGTGTCCAGGGCTACTGGCCAGCAGTGGTCAAGTGTCCAGGGGCTACTGGCCAGTAGTGATCAAGTGTCCAGGGGCTACTGACCAAGTGTCCAGGGGCTACTGACCAGCAGTGATCAAGTGTCCAGGGGCTACTGGCCAGCAGTGATCAAGTGTCCAGGGGCTACTGGCCAGCACTGATCAAGTGTCCAGGGGTTACTGACCAGCACTGATCAAGTGTCCAGGGGCTACTGACCATCAGTGATCAAGTGTCCAGAGGCTACTGGCCAGTACTGATCAAGTGCCCAGGGGCTACTGGCCAGCACTGTCAAGTGTCCAGGGGCTACTAGCCAGTACTGATCAAGTGTCCAGGGGCTACTGGCCAGCACTGTCAAGTGTCCAGGGGCTACTGGCCAGTACTGATCAAGTGTCCAGGGGCTACTGACCACCAGTGATCAACTGTCCAGGGGCTACTGGCCAGTACTGATCAAGTGTCCAGGGGCTACTGACCACCAGTGATCAAGTGTCTAAGGGCTACTGGCCAGCACTGATATACCCAGCATGACACACATGATATACCCAGCATGACACACCTGATATACCCAGCATGAGACACATGATATACCCAGCATGACACTCATGATATACCCAGCATGAGACACATGATATACCCAGCATGACACACATGATATACCCAGCATGGCACACATGATATACCCAGCATGAGACACATGATATACCCAGCATGACACACATGATATACCCAGCATGGCACACATGATATACCCAGCATGGCACACATGATATACCCAGCATGACACACATGATATACCCAGCATGGCACACATGATATACCCAGCATGACACACATGATATACCCAGCATGGCACACATGATATACCCAGCATGGCACACATGATATACCCAGCATGACACACATGATATACCCAGCATGGCACACATGATATACCCAGCATGACACACATGATATACCCAGCATGGCACACATGATATACCCAGCATGGCACACATGATATACCCAGCATGACACACATGATATACCCAGCATGGCACACATGATATACCCAGCATGAGACACATGATATACCCAGCATGATACACCTGATATACCCAGCATGACACACATGATATACCCCAACATGACACACATGATATACCCAGCATGACACACATGATATACCCAGCATGACACACATGATATACCCAGCATGACACACCTGATATACCCCAGCATGAGACACATGATATATTCCAGCATGAGACACATGATATACCCAGCATGAGACACCTGATATACCCAGCATGACACACATGATATACCCAGCATGAGACACCTGATATACTCCAGCATGAGACACATGATATACCTAGCATGAGACACCTGATATACCCAGCATGAGACACATGATATACCCAGCATGACACACATGATATACCCAGCATGACACACATGATATACTCCAGCATGAGACACCTGATATACTCCAGCATGAGACACATGATATACCCAGCATGACACACATGATATACCCAGCATGACACACATGATATACCCCAGCATGAGACACATACCCCAGCATGAGACACATGATATACCCCAGCATGAGACACATACCCCAGCATGAGACACCTGATATACTCCAGCATGAGACACCTGATATACCCCAACATAAGAGAGGAAGCACCACTGAAGAGTTACTACTGGAGAGTTAGGCAAGCATATACATGACAAGAGAGAACATAAAGCTTGCTAAGAGAGCTTCCAGGATCATAACGCTCACTAAAAGGGTATATATATATATATATAATATTGCAGTCTCTACGAAATATTTAGACACTAAGCTAAGTGTTGTGGAAAAAGGTTCCTGAAAATGGGGAACATCAGTACTAAATTATACACAAAAATTATGTAATATATATATATATATATATATATATATATATATATATATATATATATATATATATATATATATATATATCTTGCAAAGGTAAACCGAATACGGTAAGAACGGTCTACTGTGAAGCAAACTAAAGCTGGGTTCATTACCACCTGTCCTGTGAAGGGACCGGCTATGGTAAAAAAAAAAAAGAGGAAATGTCAACTGAGTATCAACAGTTACTGTGAAATATGTGGCTAGGGAGGGGGGGGGGGGGGGGGTGAATGGCTCAAGGGGGGGGGGGGGTGAGGAAGAGGGTTAAATGGCATGTGAGAAAAGGATTGAGATGGGACATTGAACTCACTATACCGAATAGAGGCGGGTTTTAAGGCTAATAGAATCTAAATATCTTCATAAAAAGATTGCAGAACATCTTACTGATACGAGGAGTTTTGGAATATCTAATGAGATCACACAAGGGTTTTATATATATATATATATATATATATATATATATATATATATATATATATATATATATATATATATAAAATATGGATATAAAATTAGTGCTGACTAACATGAACTGAACATGGTTTGGGAAGAGATAAATAACTCACATTATATAAGGACCGGAAGACCGAGTCCAGAATAAAAACAAAATGTCTTATAACGATTAAGGAGCTCATCTCAGATCATCGCCAGCTTTGTACGGTATAATGAGTGGTAGCACCTCACTACACGCCCTTAAATAAGTGACTTAAGAGTAAGCACACATTCCTTGAACGTTATCCAAGACTCCTGGGGCCAGATTCACGAAAGCACTTACGCAAGCACTTACGAACCTGTACATCTTTTCTCAATATTTGGCGGCTTTGTTTACAATTATTAAACAGTTAATGAGCTCCGAAGCACCAGGAAGCTGTTTATAACAATAACAACAGTTGATTGGGAAGTTTTCATGCTTGCAAAAAGTTTAATAAATGTAACCAAAGCCGTCAAAGATTGAGGAAAGATGTACACGTTCTTAAGTGCTTGCGTAAGTGCTTTTGTGAATCTGGCCCCTTGAGGGCGGGGGTGGACCTCACGTCACAGGATGACCAAAGCAAAGACAATAACTCCCTGGGGGGGAACCGGTATTGAGGTCGTTCAACGCTGGCGAGGGTATGAGGAGCCTTAACATATGAGGGGTTACGGGTGGGGTGAGGGTCCTCACACACCAACCTCCCCTCAGACAACACCAGGACAAGGGGAGGGGGGACAAGGGGAAAGGGGGAACATTAACTACTATTAGCAAGGTGATTATCACACCTACACAGTTGAAGAGGGGCTACAACAGTCTAAATTCTACAACAAGTAATCAAAGGATTTAGGTAGTCAAGGGTTCCATATTTGCTAATCAACACACTAGTTCATGTTGGATTAATTCATAATTATATTGAGTCAACTTTACATCCTCCACCGATAAAATAATCATAATTCCTGGGGACATAAAATGAACGTCTGAATCTACCTATAACTGGTGTAAAACAAATGACTATCGTTCGAATATCTCTCTGAATGGTAGTTAACAGTGCCACTGCTATTATAATGTACTAATCACCTGGATTTATATGAGAATCTTAATTGTTGTTAATAGGCAGTGTTAGATAACAAGCTCCGCATTCATCTGTGTGCCACTCGAGGTTATAATAAAAAAAAATACCGTCGTAATAGGTAAGGGAATCGGGTTAAGAAGAGATTAAGTACGATTCAAACACTTATCCTAAGGGGGTTATAAGGGAAAGGAATGAAGTAGAGGCGAGGATACTGGGCATTATACAGTGTGGTACTTGTAGGATTCACTACTAGAGTAAGAGGATCAGAGAGGAGGTAAACAAGGTAGAAGAGACACCTACAGAGGATTAGAGACAAAGTGTGTGGTACTTGTAAGCTCGTTAACAGACAGTGAAAGAGAAGGTTAAGAGCGGGAAAACACAAGTGTACAAGCCAGCAGTCACTTTATCATATTCTAGAACACCTGGTCACGCTGCCCTATTTTGTGCAACTTGTCACAGGAAATATACTCGTGCCACATTGCTGCCTGATATGCTATATTTGCAAGCTATACTGTAATTCATATACAGAAAACTCTTCACCCCCTGAAGGATTCGAACCCAGACAGCCAGGCTCCATGCACCTTGGCGAGTCCGATACTTT